TTTTTATATCGTGTCACTAATATCGACTGTGTTTCGTACATATAGATACATTATTTTTTTAAGTTGTTTTTAAGCTGCAGACAAAACTATAGCTCTCTGACCAATAGCCAGCATTCTATATATACAGCTATAACTACAGTTGTTATTCTATTTTAAATGTATTCATACGTGCTAAGCACGTACCAAGAATATTTGAAGGGCAACGACTACGAACAATAAAATTTGAAGGTATTTGTACATGTTAGAACATGCGTTGATATACAGTGCCACCGTCCAGTCCCCACACGAAGTTCGACGCTGAACTCACGCTCACTTTGCTGAGTGTACCGGAAATAGGCTGCCACTCTGTTCCAGTCGGATTTGTATCATTTATACCTGGTGGTGACAAAATAGTCCATTTATAAACGAACTGGAAAATGATATACTAGTTACTGAATTTATCATTGTATTACAAATCTATTTGAAGTCGGAATATTGTTCGAAAGAATTATAGAGGACCTAGTAAGAACTACTACAAGAATTATGGGAGAACGTAAATCACTAGGTGCAAATACCGGTGCGTTTGAAGATATTGTTGTTTTCATCCACGCCCCACACGACACCATCACCAGAGGAAACCTGCTTCAGTGAGCCATCCACCAGTTCCCAGCCAGTACCTGTGCGGAAATATACTCATCGAACAATACATCCATCGAACACTATCATTAGCCAGTCAACTAAATATGAACATCTATACTATAAAAGGAAACAGCCCATTTTTTGTTAGCTATATGTTCTCTGAATCTGCTCGCATGATTTGAAATTGCTTGACTGTAAACGATGCATTACCACTCATAGAGTAATATTGGCGCACTTTTTCAACGATGAAAACACGATAAATTTGAATTTGAAGCCGTTTTATTTAACACTGGTGTACCGATACCATACCGGTATATCGATCGACGTCACTACCATTAACCAATATAGCACGGTTGCAGCTTGCGCTGTAGCGCAGTGGTAACACGCTTGCCTCATACGTTAGGGGTCGGTAGTTCGAAACTCGACAATAAAAAACATCTATTTCTCGCCAGGCGCGCAACTTCTTTCTTTCATCCTAAATATATGCATATTAAAAATATGTTTAATTTAAAATGTATACTATAAAAGGGAAACAGCAAATTTTTATTAGCCAAGTTATTTTTAAGTTAAGGAATTCCCCTCATGGGACTACCCTGGGATATCCCAAAATCCATAATGAGGCTCTTCACGACAATGTGCTAATAACCACATCTTTACGTTCGGTTGAGTTTAACGCTGAAAACTTTGTAGCTGAGTTAATACAAGTTAATATACCTTTATCTCCTGCACTTAAGGTAGGTTTTCCGAAATATCAATATGCCTGTTTCTTGAATAACAATTATAGTTCGTAGGCCTACACAAACACAGTGACCATGTTTGCCCAGTCAATAAATGGCATTATTCCTGCCGATTGTCACTAATTCCTGCATGAATTATGTATTGTTGGCAACACATGTTAAACCCCCAGACAGCCCCACAGACAGTGATTATCAACTGCTGACCAGAAAGCTCCTGAAATTATTAACTGCTGACCAAACAAACTGCTGATATTGGGGATTTCAATTCTAATATCAATTCTTACAAACTACTGATATAATTCGATATTAGGCATAAAATAAAAAAATGTCTGTTTACGGTTCCAAATCAATTTTTTTAAAGGGTAGGTCGGTAGGTAAAAAAAAAATTTTTTACTTACATTTTTTTTTTAAGTCAAAAACACCAAAACTATCATTCAATGAGTTCATTTTCTACAACTTTAAAACCCGATACATATTTTGATGAAAAAATGATAGAAAAATATTGTTTAGGAAGACTAATTTTTATTTCTCGACTTTATTTATGATCTTGGTCTAAAATAAATCAATTTAATATTCTTTTTACAACAATGCTAATAAATTTGAGTCG